ATGCCCCTACTTTTTTACAAATTTTTTCGATGTGCTTATCCCAACTCGTCTTTTCGTCAAGGAATACCCCAAGGCCATTCAAAGAGCTTGTCTGGGAAATCCGTTTGTCATTTAACATTACTGGATAGTCATGCACAGACCTTATTAAGGTTGTGCGTCGATCCAGTAATCATTACTTTTGTCTTGGTTGGGTGGTGTTGTAATTTGTTACTAACGAACCATTCGCTGATTTTATTAATATCGTAATTTAATTTGTCAATAAGTTCCCTGTAATCATGACAGGAAGCAAATATCTGGGTATTATCAACATAAAGACTGGGAGTTGTCTTGCAAAGACTCTCAGGTAAGTCATTTATATAGAGTAAAAAGAGCAGTTATTTTTTACTTTCTTTTTACATGTATATCGACGCCCCTCGTGGAAACCAGCAAATGTTGATGAGGCTAGCGTCGATCAAGTTTTTAAATAAAGGTTACATACATACATACACATACATACATGCAAATTCCACGGCTGATAATTCTCTCCTTGTGGAGCTCGTTTTACTTTCCTCTAAATCCCATTGTTTATGACACACCTGTTCTCCGTTAAAGTCTATATGTGCTCCGCAACCAACGCTACTAGCATCCGAGTAAACGATATAATGGGATTTCTTAATATTATGAACATGGATGTCGCCCTATGGATGTTGCATTTCCGCAACTCGTTACTGGGCATTTTCCCGCGGTTTTAATTGCGATTGAAAGAGCCAAACACGAGTTTGGGATATTTTGAGCTTGGGGTTACAACTAACCCTAGCCATTTTATTAATAAAATGACGTGTAGCCAAACGTAAAGACAAATCTTCAATCAGAGGATAGAAGACAACTGCTCAATAAGAAGATATAAGACAACTCCTCAATCAGAGGATATAAGACAACTCCTCAATCCGAGGATATAAGACAACTCCTCAATACGGAGGATATAAAACAACTCCTCAATCAGAGGATATAAAACAACTATCAATTACAATCGCGATGGAGCATCGCTATGGCGTGTTTTATTGCTCCGCGGTAACTCCTTTAAAAACGATACTGCCCCATAGGATTAAAATGTACCCCGTCATGTATATAGAGGGTTACGGATGGGTTAGAGAACCCTCGTTGTGTCCAACAAATGGCTTGGTCTATGGGCTCGAGGACTACCCTGGTATATTGGTTTAGCAGATTGGCTCTCGCATTAAAATTAGAACTGGGATGTCTCACACGGGGAGTGACTTGGCACAACACCATTGTGCGCACGCAGTATTCGGAAAGCAACGAGCGAACAAGTTCCTCAATGGCAGAACCCACTACTTCCGGTGGGGTGAGAGCTAACTCGTTCGTCCCGATATCGAGAACGACGATGTCAGGGGTATTCTCGCGATTACCCCCATATCGAACTTACTTAATTTTGAGACTGTTCGGCCACCCACACTATGCATAAATATATCGGCCGTGCCATCTAGATCGAAATTTTTGGCTACCCGCTCGTCAAGACCTGCAAGTAGGTCGCTTCGAAGTCTACGAACGAATGAATGACCCAAAATAAGTACCCTAGGTGTAGTAGGGCCAGTGGACGAAGCAGCCATTGTGGCCCGAAATTGTGCCGTATTAGCGAGATATGGACGCCTAAATTTAACTGAAAACTTGAACCGGGCGACCAGAACCACGCTAAGACCCTAATAAAACTTTTGCGTATAAATTATATGCTATATAATAGTAGTGGTTTAAAGGTAATTCACCTGAATGGATACTGCTTATAATAACTGTGTATGAAATTGTTTCAGAACAGTTTATGACTTGCTTCGCCAGCTGACTTTAAGCGACTAACTTGAAATGTTTGAAAGTGTCTTATGACAGCACCCTGAAAATGATCTAATGGTTCCATCTGTTAAATTGTTGGCCTACAGCTAAAGTTTTATCTCTTCAGAGCAGATTTCCTCCACCCCTTTGACAGAGTTGCCCATTATGATAATAAAAACAAGATGACAGGCATAAAATTCCTATTCGCAGGCAAATATTATATTTATTTTCTATGTTCTCTTTCCAGAATTGTAACTCTCTTATGCAATATTGATCTAATCATTCTAATATAAAATAGGAATCCCTTACGCATTGGTAAGGATAGACGTCTGTTGAAAAAAGGATTGCGAGAGTAAGAGTCGGACTGTTGAAGCTATCTGTTTAAATAACCTAGTTAACCAATGATAATCCTGATAGTGTCATTAATACTTATTTAATTCTGTCTATAGAATTTACTTCCATACCGATAGAAAATACATTTTATAATTAAGCTACGACAAAGTCTACAAACTTGAACACACTTTCTTTTCACATCTCTCTCTCTCACACTCGTCCCCATGCTCCCGCCTAATAACTTGTCAATGACTACAATCACTTCAGCAGTACAAAGTTCTTTGTAAATCGCAGTAGCATATTATTGAAAGGTAAGTTAGTGACAGTTACTTCTTTACCTTTTTTAGTAGCGCGGCTAAGTGAAATAACCCAATATTCATGCCCTAAAGTCTGTTTAATAAGTTGATTTGCATTCGATTCAGTACATGAAACGTTTGACGTCTGAAACGATCGCGAGCTTACATGCATTTACGGAAATCAGATCATTGCATAAATTATGGCAGGTTTTATACTTTCTACATTTTCTATTTTTAGTTTCCAATTTATCTTATCTTATAAACATTCGCGTTATAGTTTATGAGGGCTGTGTGAAGGTTCAATGCACTGTATATTTAACGGCAGTATAGTATGGCATAGTGTATAAAAAGACAACTGTTGTTTACACAGGAAACCTGTGTAATCCTTAATCTATAAGCAAAGTAGCTACTTATCCTTGAAAACTCTTTCGCCGCGGCCATTGGCATGGGTCTTCCGGAAAGAACTTAATTTGTAAAATAACCCAACGGAAAATTTGGCTGCATTTAACGCAATTATATTGCATGATTCTCCGGGAATCTGTGCTAAGTTTTCCGGTTAAGTATACAGCGCATGCAGTATGCTCTGTATATAGTATAGATCCTTAGTCCAAAACATTACGAAGACAGTTCAACATACTTGACCTACCGATTTATGATAGTCAATTATGCTTATAATACCCGCTACATGCATGCATATACGTAAAATATATGGATAATCTTTTGCTACATTACTGTACGTTTCAGTGTAGCTTAGCTTGTATCACCTGACCAAGACCCACGATTCTTTATGAGCCGATCAATCACGACTTGGCGTAAATAATATAATAAATTCGGAATAAATAATTGCCATAAAATGTGCTTATAATTGCGACATCTAAATTTCAAAATTCAAATGAAATGTCCCAGGACTCAAAGGTTTCATACAATGTACGACATTAGCTACTGGCCAGGTATACAGAATGACTCCAAACAAAATAGAAATTCACTAAACTTAACCCAGGATTGATATATTTAATTCATTAATTTTGCCTTTATGCAGTATGAAAAGAATTTCATTAGCTTCCAAATTAAATGTTCGAATATATTCTTGGAATGAAAATTTCTGATAGCATTCAACTGACCAAATTGATGAAAAACGAAGCCAATGTTTACCAATTTTTACGAACTTACAATTAGAAATGTAATAATTTACGCAATATAATATAATAATATTCTGGAATTATATTGCAATTTAGGAGATTGGTTTAATAGTTTGTTGAATTGCTGACAGTATTACGAAATTGCGACAAATATTGAGTCATCAATCTTAGATAGCTTATCCAAATTCTACTATATTATGATAACGTGTGGTAGGATATTATGCAGTGTGCATGTATGGTAGGATATAATTCATATAAAGTGTACATTATAGGATTTAAAGTTTGGTGGGGAATGAAGTGTTGTTGTCCTGTTCGATTTGTTTAAAGTGTGACAGGATATAAAGTGTGGTAGGATAATTTATTATTCTTATCTTGATCGATTTGTTCAAAAACTCTAAACATAAATATTCTCAACTGTCATAAAGTCACTGTACTGCAACTAAATGTCCCCGTCGCGGTGCCTCTCTGAACTTTGTAGCAGGAGAAACGCATGATTGCATGCGTTATGGAATTCGTTTCAAGGTGGCAACGTCTTTCTTCAACATCGGCTCGCCACAATTAATATTGTGAGAGATAAAGATCAAAACTTTAAGGGTATTTACGTCAATCCACTTAACAGGTCAAGATTTAACTACTCCAGACATGACGTGCATGGTGATGCAGTCCTTGGTTGTAAAGCGTTGAAGCAATACTGCAGTATGCATGCAGTGGGAGTACTGGGGGCCTTGCAGACGCACATTTCTTTTTCAAACACAGCTTTATTTCAGTGCTACGGCTTTGTGGAATAGCCTTGTTGTCGAACCACGAACAGCAGGTATTATACCCTATTATTCCCTAGATCAATCAGTCCTAGTGATTAAAGTGCTAGGTCATTCTAGAAACTCGTCTTTAAACATGCAGGAAACGCGACTGACGAGTCTAAACTTCCCTTTCTAACTTTCCTCTCCAAACAGATACGTATAAGTTTGACGGGAATCCCGTCTGGACGAGAAACTCGTGTTATTAATTTGAATGTAGATGGATAAACAAGACGAGCCTCTCAAATATATAACAAGCCGATAAAGACAAAACTATATTAATATAGCGAAGGGAAAAAAACAAACTGATTATCCGTACTATAAATATCGCAGCTTTTTCTGACCATGCAGTCATTCGTTTAAATATTTAATTTAACGATCCGTATTCATATTTAGATGGATTTTCACAGTTAAATTAATACTCTTTCTTTACCTTTCCGTTTCTCTTACTCTCTGCTATTGTTAGACTCCCATGCTATGCATACTTGTGCCCATATCCAAGTATGCTCCAGATCGCAGAAATATAAATTCTTTTCATATCATTAATGTCTGTGCCGTATTTCTTTAAACCTGTACTAGAAAAAGTCGCTTTAATGCCTTTCCTACAATGATATTCAGTGTTTGTCTCCCCAATTGTCAACAACATCCTTCGCACAGAAGGTAATTATTTTTCGTAGAAAAGCGTTCTCATAATCGTTCTCATTTTCGTTCTCATATTCGTTCTCATATTCGTTCTGAATCTGATATTCGTTCTCATATTCGTTCTCATATTCGTTCTCATATTGGTTCTCATATTCGTTCTCATATTCGTTCTCATATTCGTTCTCATATTCGTTCTCATATTCGTTCTCATATTCGTTCTCATATTCGTTCTCATATTCATACTCATAGGTCGATGTCCCTCCCTAAAACTCAAATTAAATCTTGTGTAAAACATTGATTCCGAAAAATCGTCTAGGTAACTTATAATTTAATACCCATGCAGTTTTTGCAAGTCAAGTGAATCTAAATTACAGCCACGTGAAGATGCTTCGAGTAAGAACATCATAGTTATAGAAATGAACAACAAAACAATGCATGTTTGGTTAGCCAAGCGCAAGTCAGGTTGATCGGCAAGCAACTGCGCGATACGTCAAACCCACTGAGCTATACTATAATTCCTAGAGGGAGTGCTCGCCATCATAAAGTGCAGCCAGAAAGATGGCGGATTTTGAGCTTTGCTGACGCCAAATGGTCCTAAATGGCCTGGGTTGTTACCGCTGACATACCGCTATCAAAAGACAAAAAATGAATCATCTCTCTCCTGATTTTTGATAAAAAATACTTTTGGTTTTCAGTGAGTAATTATTTCCTAATGTTTTGTTTTTAAAATAGTAAATTCAAATTGTTTCTTCGTTTCCGAGCTTTCCCTGTTTTACAAATTACGCGAAGATGTGGTTTCTTGATCTATACTTGTGATGTTTTAAACGTTTTTATCGGAAGAGAATCAGGTAATCTTTTTTAAATATTTTCGTTTCTTTCGTCTGAACTTTAGTCTTTAGTATATAAGCTCAAAGCCAGTATAAGTCTATAAAAAGTTATATTATGAAAAGCAAAAATGTTTGCCAAGAACATATTTTGATTTCATTTCTATATTTATTATCAATAAAAGTTTTATTGCCATGTTACAGACAGTGAACTAGTTTTTTATGCCAGCCTTTTTGGTAAATTTTCATAATGCAATTTTTTCAAAATTAATAGCCAAACTTTTAGTAGAATGTACACAATTTTACGTCTGTGGGTATGTGGCAGACTGTATATTTTTAGCTGAACAAGACATACTAGTCACTTTATATTGATTTATTTGCCACACGTTCTGATACAAAATAAGATATTTAACAACCACTGGAGTCAGTGGAGTGGCTGTTAAAGCCTAATATTTTCTTTGACAAGATTTATTATGGTTTAATAGTTATAATTTCTGTATCTTGTACTCACTTTGTAACTATTAACTAGAAATACATGCATGCAGCAACCCCTCGCCATTTTAAACAAAGCAAAATACTTCGTGCGCTACCAAGACCTAACTTTCTACGCTAATATTATGAAATAACTCGTGCAAATTTTTGGGAAACAAAGACAGTCGTAAAGCTAGGTGAACAGAAATCACCTGTTTGCCTGCTGCATTACGTTGCAGTTTAAGTGAGTGTTAAACTTTTCTATAGCTAAACCTGTATCGATGAGGAGCTGAGTAAAACATTTATGATATTAACTTTGATTATAATTTGATTAGTTTAGTTTTATTGACGTTTAATGTAGAGCACGAGGTTCACTAGGTAATATGAGCTGATTATCACGAACTGTAGTCTGCATGTATGTGAGAACACGTTTTGTGTGCAACTGGTAAATTTACTCTGTTCTGTGCTAACCTGTGAAAATACGGTTTATGGATTAATACTGGGAAAGATATGTAGAACGCAGAAACCCGGCAAGAAGTAAGTGAAGATCAACGTTTATATGTAATTTACATAGCATTCGAATATGATAATAAGCACATGTAATCTAATCTGTATTTAGCTATAATTTGTTAATCCTTATTTTATAGATCGAATAATTTTAATTCAAATACGAATTTCATCAAAATAAAATTCCACAAATTATACGATTCCGTGTACTGCGTTCTGATACACCACAACCTTCAAAACATCAAAACAGCACAAATAATTATAATAACCATACAAGCACTATAAAACGTCGAATGTTGTTTCTCAATTATTTATTTCATTCAATGATTTTAGCGACTATATAAGCTGCAAAGTAATATTTGTTTTATCAAAACTCTGAAGTACACTTTTGAGAATTCTTTTTAAAGTTTAAGCGATTATGTAAAGCCTTAAACGGTTGGTTAGCTCCTTGTAAAACGACATACCAAGCTCGTACTGGTCAAAATAACAATGCATTCTTACAGCAAACACTGAATAAGCAAAATATAGACACCTACCACTTCAAAGATTATAAACTACGAGTCGTTCCTATTTCACCAACTGTTTCTGTAAAATGACGGTTGAAGTGCTGACGCTCTCATGCATGTTCTCTTTTTGTGTTAGCCAATCAGCAAGTTTTAGACGACCGTTCTTTCTTCGTTCAAATTTCGCGCATGCGCATAACTACCATGACCATTGAACGTCCATGATATTTGGGCAACTTTGGATTCGCCTATGTTCTGTCAGAATACCCGGGTGTAATTCTTAAACTCTGGGCGGGATTAGTACGCTCGCACGACGCTTCGCGCTGGCTAGGGGATAAAGGATGGACTAAATTGAGTACAGTGAGACTTATCAGATTTCTCTTATTTTGCAGGAATAAGAAGCCAAATAGAAAAATAAAAAAGGTGGCTTGCATCCTTTCATTCCTTTGTTCTGAAATAATGAATTAGAGCCAAATGCAATGTATCATACACATGAGCTGCTCATTGATTATGCCATGTTGACGTGATTTTAACCTTTTCCTTACAGTTTAATAGTCATTCAAATGAATGAATAAAAACATTGCCTAAGCATTATTCTGTCTCAAATCAGTAACAACCTTTCTTAATTTCCTAAACCATTCCCCCCAAGAGGGCTGATTAATGGGGATAATTCAGAGCGTGAATAAGCCCTGTTGCATTGTGAAAGATTCTTTCTGCAGCAAATGAAAGCTACACCAGTTGGCAACATAGCAGCTATAATTTCTGAAATACAATTCTCAATATGTACTAAACATGCTCATAATGGTCAACATCAAAGGTATTACACTGTATCAAGGTGCATCCATGGTCAGGAATGCTAAATGAGCAATGCTATAAATCAAATATGACTTAGCTGAAATTGTATTTTTTGCACATAAAATGTTGATTAATGCCTTTGAGTCTAGAAAGCTTCAATTTATCTGCATAAAAGATCCAAACAATTTTTCGCATACAAAAAATTAAGAAATTCTTAGACGTTTCCTCTAGAATTTTAAAGATCAATTGGATTTCATGCGGATTGTAAAATAAACATGAATGAATCAATGAAACTCGGAAAAGTGAAAATTACCAGTGAGGTAGTTGACTTTTTTCCCCATATTTTTTGCAGTTATCATACTTATTTGTTCTTGTATTTGTAAAAACAACGCGTATGACTGGTATACATCTTGAAATAATGTTTTTTTTCGTATTATATTTAATAAAATATATCGAAAACAACGAGGTTTCGCACAAAATAAACATTTTCCAAAAATCCAGGAGGGGAATCTTTTCGAAGCGGGCTCAGATTTGAGCGTGGTCAGTGGTAACTACCATAGCCATTTAGGACCAAGTTGCGTCAACAGAGCTTCTGCGTAGTGCGCAGAAAACAATGTCCGCCATGTTTTCAGCTTCAAAAAGATGGCGGTGAAGTTACTGAAATTCGAGGAGCACTCCCATGAATTATAGTATAGCTAAGTGGTCAAACCGGTCAAAGAAAATAATAATTTTTATTATTATTAAATGAGCGTTAGTTAGCAAATTGGAAACGAAACGGAAATCAGAAGTTCGGTCGTCAGAGAAATTTTATCCTCCACAATTGCACAAGACATTATAGGGTATATTAATTTAACAGCAAACTAAGGTACTCTGCATTTATATCTAGTAAACGGATTTGGACATTAAGACATGTAACTGTACATGTACACGAAATTATTGATCCATTTTATGAATACACATTTACCAATTCTAACAGCAGCTAGTATTAATGCGTTGGGAGACAATGTGACCAATAAAATATTATTCCAATATCACAATAATTTGCATCATAGATCTATCTTTGTTTGACCGCCGATCGCTCGCTTATCACTGAACCTGTAAATCTTCAGTAAATCTAACTGCCTATTCGTTCCGATAGGGGGATAGATTATCTACTAGATCGATCGAACGTAAAAGCCCGCTTCGACAATAAATGTATATCGATGATGGATTATTAAAGACCAACATGTAAAAACTAAACAGAAAAAATACATAATTCATGAGCCACGCCACGTTCTGTTCACTTTTAATAATCCGTTTAGCGTTTGTCCTACCTCTGTCCCCAATAGCTAACCCTGTTAAGGAATATTTCCACGATATTTGTCAACGACTTCCGAGCTACAATTTTTGACCTCGCGCAACACAAAACAACGCTTCTCTCTCCTCCCCAAAGCCACCTATAACTTACAAGTAATTTATGCAGCAGCAACATTACAGTAAATAATTAATGCCGTAGTTTCCAAACAAGGCAGACGAATTGTAAAACCTAGCCTATTAACGGTGCATGGCTATATATTGACTATTAATTTATGCCAACAAAATTAATTGCTACGTTTAAAACGGCAAGGGTTTGCTGCATGAAAGTATTTCTAGTTACAATTAAATAGGGCGTGTGATGACATGAATTTGTGAATATTTTCAGAACATGTACTCATCATCATGCAGCCTGGATCTAGAAACTGAAACTGGAACTCAAAGGCCACTTGAGTGCAATTTTAGTAATAAGAGTTTTTTTCAATCAAGCCATTTAAAAAGAAATAAAAGGACACATACGAGGGAGAAGCCACATGAATGTGATGTTTGTAAGAAGAGATTTCGTGAAAGGAGCGATTTAACAAGACATAAGAAAATACACACTAGAGAGAAACCTTATAAATGTGATTTTTGTAAGAAGATATTTTCACATGTTAGTATTTTGGTTAATCATCAAAAAACGCACACCGGAGGAAAGCCTTATAAGTGTGATTTCTGTAACAAGCAATTTTCACGCAGTTACTATCTGGCTATACATAAAAGAACACACACTGGCGAGAAACTTTATGAATGTGATGTTTGTAAGAAAAGATTTTCGCGTCGTAACAATTTGGTTAGACATCAAAGAACACACACTGGGGAAAAGCCTTATGAATGCGATGTTTGTAAGAAGAATTTTTCACGTGCTAATAATTTATTTACCCATCAAAAAACACACACTGGGGAGAAACCTTATGAATGTGAGATTTGTAAGACGAGATTTTCGCGTAGTAATAATTTAGTTAGACACCAAAGAACTCACACTGGAGAGAAACCTCATGAATGTGATATTTGTAAGAAGAGATTCTTACAGTCTGCTGGCTTAGCCAAACATAAAAGGACGCACACTGGAGAAAAACCTTATGAATGTGATGTTTGTAAGCAGCGTTTCTCACAGTATGGTGGCTTAGCTAGACATCAAAGAACACACACTGGAGAGAAAGATTATGAATGTGATGTTTGCGAGAGAAGGTTTTGCACTTTTGCTCAATTGACTTGTCATAAAAGAACACACACAGGAGAAAAACCTTATGAATGCGATATTTGTAAAAAGAGATTCGCGCAATTTAGTAGTGTGGCTAGACATAAACGAATACACACTGGAGAGAAACCTTATGAATGTGATATTTGTAAGAAGAGATTCTTACAGTGTGGGGGCTTATCAAGACATACAAAAATACACGCTAGACAGAAACCTCTTGAATTTGATGCTTGTGAGAGAGATTTCGAGATTCTTCTGACATAATACACTGAATATAGTAAGTACACTATCGAAATCGAAACGAAAACTGTTAATTTTTGGTAAATAAGCTTGTAGGTGCACCACGTAAGCTTAGTTAGCTTGTATTACCAACAACCTAATTTACTTATTAATGTCGCCATGCAAGCATACAAGAATATTATTAATTTTGGATTAAAGTTTATTATCGAATTACACCAGGCATTTTGGTATATGTATTTTGCTGTTGTTGAATAGTTTAACAACCTTTTGATATTTCAAAGGTTGATAATTTTTATAAAAAGGCTTTCTATCAGATTGTAAATATGTACCACCGGATACACATGTGATGGCATGCAATCGTGTAATTTTTGAAAAATGAACAATGTTATTGTAAAGAGCTTAAATGTTTTATTAGAACATAGTTTAACATAGTCCATATACTATAGTATGCCAAATATGCCATGCATATACATATCATGCAATGGAAAAAATAAACTAGCAGTAATAAATTTCAGTGATTATTAATGAAATTAGTCAATCACTAGTGGTAGCAAAGGATGAGGTCGGAAAAAAATTAGGCCTCTCTTAATAAAATTTATTTTAAAAAGAAGTGAATCCTTGTTGTGTAGCTTCACGAAGTCATGGATTGCTCTGTGAAAACCAAATTAATTGAAATATTACATTCACTGCTGAAGACCTAGAAACTACAGTGCAAGCGTGTAAACTACATATCATAATGGTTCTAAAACCATATTTCGAAGAGGTAAAAAAAATCAGAATTAAACAATCTCATCATTACCAGAAATTTGGGACATTTTGCGTCTGCGTTCGTGGGCAGCGTCCGCTTCTTGGCCGAAGGAATTGGTGAAAATTTCATAAAATGGCTCGATGGTATAATTATGCAATTATAATTATGCTTCAAATGTATATGGCCGGATGCTTAACACACTGAAAAATCATGAAATTTCAAACGCTGTGGGAACCGTGGCGGTAAAAAATACGAAGATATTTATGAGTTATATCGCTAGCTATATCACAACCAAAGACATTTCCAACTCCGAACTTTGCATCGTCCAAAAGGAAAGTGGTGTATTTGACCAGATTGTAGAGCATGTTTACCGATATTACTATGGTTTATATAGCCGAATCATTCAAATTGGCCTTGTATATAAATCGCACTCAGGAACCTAGAGGATTTGCTAGTGAGTGAATATTTTTTGTTATAACTCTTCCTTTCTGAACGATTTACAGAATTCGAACTCCGAACCAAGAAAAAAACACACATAGGAAGCGTAATTTAAAGTTTTGTGATTAAGCCATATTGTTTCGCATGAAATTTGGCCGCCATGTTTGTTTTTATCCGAATGCAAGACGCCATCTTGTCCCAAATTTCTGGTAATGTATGAAAGAAAAGGTATGAACTAATCTTAAAAATTGACCCAGTAGAAGACAGTTTAATTCTCGATTATATGATCTTCCGAAGTCGTAAAGCACACCGTGGGGTTGATAAGCTATGGCTTTCATCAAGCTGGCTTTTTCTGCATGATATATGAGGGTTCCGGTAAAATATTTTAATCCGTTTCAAAATGGTTATAATCGTCTTCGATATGCTGATAAAAATAGTTACAGATTCTTTTCGCAACACTAGAAAATTCAGGATGATACAACACCATAAATGAAATGGGAGAGCGAACAATGAAACATTATTGCCAGGATGAAATGGAGAATTCAGTCCAAACTTTTTTTGTCCCAATCTTCGTGAATACTAATTTTGGATTTGAAAATACCTTGCATCAGTTAGTTTATATCGTTGAAAAAAATGGGAAAATATTCTCTGGTGAAAAATAAATGAATTCCAATTGAAAGGCCGACTTTTTTTTCTTCTGAAAAAAAAACCACATAAAATCTCTTCGCAAAACACATCGTGACGTTGATTAAATCAAGCCTGGCTTTCTTGATACTTGGCTTTTCCTCATTTATGATGGTTCCGGTAAAACATTTTGATGTTTAATTATTCTTATAATCCTTTTCGATGTGCCGAAAAAAGTAGTTTAAGATTCTTTCAAAAACACTAGAAAATTCAGGATGATACATAAATAAAATAGGACAGCGAACAACCATTATTGCCAGGATGAAAATGGAGTTTCAGTCCAAACTTTTTATGTCTCCAATCTAAGAGATTCGCGAATACCTTTTCTGGATTTGAAAATACTTTGCATCAGTTACCCCATGTCGGAAAAAAATTGCAAAATATTGCGTTCTCAAAATAAAAAATCCCGCTTGAAAAGCCGAACTCTTTTACCTTACGAAGTCGTAAAACACATCCTGGGTTGATTAAAGCATGGCTTTCCTCATGCTGGTCTTTTACTGATATATGAGGGTTTCGGTAAAATATTTTAATGCGTTTTAAAATGCTTATAATCTTAGATATGGTGGAAAAATAGTAAAAGACTCTTTTCGCAACACTTGAAATTCAGGATTATAATTGTCTGCTTATATGAAGTATATGTATAGGTCACGGGTTAGCAGCCCTATTGAATATAGATATTGATGAGTTGAATAATATTATAATAATGGCGACGAGAATGGTAAAATAACTAATGATTTTTAGAAGTTCTAAGTACGAAAATATGGCTATTGCATGCACTGCCAGTTTTTCGAGAATTTGATCTACGGGACCCAAGCAATTTATTGCTGCAAGATGGGCGAAATACTTAAAGAGATTTAACAATATGAACATCACAGATGCTGGTCGAAAACGTGCTTTGCTTTTACATTATGTTGGCGAGGAAGTCAATGGCATCTTTGATACACTAGCAGATAAAGGAGACGACGAAGATTTTAAGGAAGCCTGCGATGCTTTAGCAAGATATTTTACACCGACGAAGAATGTATCATTTGAAATAGTTTAAGAGGAGATTTTTTAGAAAGTCGCGTATTTTTGCACAAAATCGCTCAAAACGTAGCAACCAGGCCTTCGCTAAAATATGCTTCGCAGCTATTTTGAATTTACAAGTTTGGTAAAGTTTTCGTGTCGAATGACAGCTGTTTTACTAACTTTTGGAGCATTTTAAAAGGCGAACAGCTCCTTGAAATGAAGAACATCAGGTGAGTGGTAGTTTCATATATGTACCAGTAAACTACTAAACTAGCATAGTGGATAATTATGTCACTTATAAATGTGTAGTTGCTTAATTGAAGATACAATAATAAAAAAGACCCTAAATAATCTATCTCAATTAAGAAACAACACAAGAAAGAAAGAGAAAGTCAAATTATAATTACATTGCAAGTTTACCCGAACATTTTGATGAATTAAGACTACATATGCAAAATCAATATTTAGAGATACTAGTTCTAAACGAAACTCGTCTGGACAAGTCAACTAGTGATTCCGAAATTTCAGTTGACAATTAATATGCCTTAGTTAGGAATGATAGAACGCAATATGGAGGCGGCGTGGCTATGAAATATCCGTATACGTATAACACAATTAATTTTAATACCAGAAATTATTTCCATGAAGAAGCCCTTGAGTTTTTGTGTGTTGAAATGAAACCTAGAGAACCTAATATCTTCGTGGTACAGGCCTCCGAACTCTTGCATAGATCTCTTTGTTAAATTGCAGGTAATCTTAAATTGAATACCTTGGTATTGAAAATAATATCCATGGAGATTTAAATTGTAGCATGAGTGCATCTGATTTGGATAATATTACTAAACAAGTGAGTCTTATCAATACATTCAACTTATTAAGGAACGTACTAGAGTCAGAAATAGCTTTTCCACGTTAATCAATTTTTTATTGACCAATGAACCCAACAATTACGCTATTAGAAAACACTCTACTGTTAAATCTAAGCCTGTATGTATTAAATCTATCTCGCAGCTACAAAAATTTTGACGAAATTTCTTTTAAGCAAGATATTGATTCCATTCCACTGAACATAGTTTCAATTGATGATCCTGTCTCTGCTTGGAAATTTCGAAACGACTATTTCTTGACCTTTCTGATAAACATGCCCCAGACAAACAAAAAAGAATAAGGAAGACTCGTGGCCCACTGATGGCTTTCCGTTGAAATTAAAAGGTTAATATGAGAGAGAGAGAGAGAGAGCCATTAAAACGGAAAGCTGTTTATACAAACGATGAAAATGATTGGGATAACTCTAAAAATGCTAAGAACTTAGTTAACTACGAAATACGAGATTGCAAAAAAACAATAATATCATAACTCCTTATTTCAAACCAATGTACGCCGGGATGAAACGGACGAAACCTGCTTGGAATCTTATAAATAGTCTTCTCTCTCTCTCTTTCAAAAATTTGAAGTAGTATACCGAAAATTTTGCAAGGTGGAACTGAAATTACAGAACCAGTAGCTATTAGTAATGTTTTCAATCAACACTTTACTGAAATGAGATATAAATTAGCAGCGGAAATTCCTGCCACTGGAACGGTTTCTTTTAACATTCTACAGTGCATGTTATGAAGTTTTTGAACTAGATGAAATTAGTCGGTCCACCTGAAATCTTTGAATTAATTCAGAAATTATGAACTTCTAAAGCTTGTGACCTTGATAACATTCCAGTCCGATTACAAAAACGAGTTAATTTTGCACTTTAGTAACACTCAGCATTCATATAATCAACCTAGTAATTCGTAAAGGGAAAATCCCCGTTGACTGAAGTGTGCCAGGGTATAACAGCAGTTATTAATTTTTAGACCTCTTCACTCAAGGGTAAAAGCTGTTCTTGATGCCACTTACAAACGGTAAGCAAATATCGACAGTGGGTTGATAAATGCTATTCTATTCATTGATTTAAAAAAATGTTTTTGTTAGTAGCTACTATTGGTCATAACATTTTTTTACAGAGTTCGACTTGTTATGGTTT